CAGCAAATTTCAGACTACATTCTGCAGGCTACAAATAGGTCGGTGCAATTTTGTCAAAAATGACCACTAAATTCCACAAAAATGGTTAACTCCCAACTACATTTTCACTTTTTATTTATTGCCTTATGTTAGATTTTGCCTATAAATAACTATGTTCCCTTCGTTGTAGGCAGAAGTTTCAATCAAAATTTTAGTTTATATTTCTCCTCTTTGGAGTGAGTTTTTTGGAGAGTTGATTCTCTCAATTTGTCTTTATATCTTAGGTCTTGCCAACCTAAGTGATGAACCTGTCAGGAAAAAGATAGAGATATTCTCTTTTAAGGCACTGTTAGGGCAGCGACTAGGGAAGAGGCTGTTTATGCAACCTAAAAAAAGATGGAGAGCACTCGGATTGTGGCAAGGAGAGCGGCAGCAAGGAAAGACAATGGCTACAGACAGCGGCAAGGTTACAGGAATGGGTATGCAGGGGGTTACAGTCAGCGCCAAGGAGACAGGAATGTTTCTGCAGGTGGATACAGACAGTGGCAAAGAGGCAGGAATGGTGTTGTAGGTTATACCGCACAGTTCTTCGGAGGGGCAACGACATTCTTCTTTTATAACTTCCCAGAGGAATTGGAGGCAAAGTTTCTATGGAACAGATTTCAGTTGTACGGCAAGGTAGTTGATGTGTATCTTCCGACCAAACGAGATAAGAGGGGGAAGAGGTTTGGTTTCGTACGGTTAACAGGGGTCAAGGATGTGATTCAAATGGAGAGGAGGCTGAATGAGATATGGATTGGCTCCTACAAGATGAGAGTAAAGATTGCATATGACAGACAGAGGAAAGATTCAAAGCCCAGAAAGGTTCAAGGCGTGTTTAAAGCTAACGGATCAACAAGCAGCATGTATAGATTGGTCCAACCAGGGCATTCATATGCACAAGCAGTGAAGGGCCAAGAAAAAAGGGCGGATAACGTAACAAAACAGCTTCAGGAAAAGGTGAACGAAGCAGTCTCGGACAAGGAAGGGGGCAAAATAGAGTTACAGGAGAAATCGGTAGTAGGGAAAACAGAGGAGATTATTGAATACACCCCAACGGGTGATGAACTACAATGGCTTGAGGGTGGCATGGTGGCAGTGGTGAGGTCAATGGCGTTGGTGTCTGAGATTCAAGAGCAGATGGACGCTGATGGAGGTTCAATCTCAGTATTACCAATGGGGGGAAGACGGGTGCTTCTAATTGAAAAAGTTGCAGGGTTTTTATCTGACTATATGAAGAATAAACAGGAGCTGTTTGGACTGTGGTTCGAGTCTATAAAACCATGGGAGATGGACCCAGAGGAGAATAGCCGAATGATGTGGTTGCGCATAACCGGAGTGCCATTAAACGCATGGGATGAAAGGTGTTTTCAGATGATTGGGGAGACAATCGGAGAAGTTTTGATGGTTCATGAGGATACAAAGAAGAAATCAATCTTATGGGATGGGAGAGTATTGATATTAGGCTCGGAATCTTGTAAAGTCTCAAAACAAGTTAAGCTCAAGGTGGGAGAGCAGGTGTTCGATATAGAGATAGTTGAAGAAGAGTGGCGCTCTGACCCGGATTGGTGGCTATCGGAGAATGACCGGAGAAGTGAACTGGAAACGGAGTCCGGTTACTCAAACTCGTGGTGTCAGAATGAGGATCCTGAACTGGATATGGATGTGATGGGCGACGGCGAGGATACATGTAACGGGTCAGTGCATTTAATGAAGGAGTTGGTTTCAATTTCAAATCCGAAGGGGGCAACGGAAACGGAGAGCTGTAATCAAAGGGTGCAAGAGACAGTATTGGAAGGGGATGCAAGCTTTGGGCTGTCCAAGGTAATTGGGCTACAAAAATTGAGTATTGATGGGCCAGTAGATAGCAGTGGGCCGAATATCGGGATGGGCAGGGGACAGATCAGGCAAACGAATACAGAGGAGCCCAGTTTAAATGCTCAAAACCAAATGGATCCACCGACTATGCAGAAACCGGAAAACTCAAAAAACGTGAGCAAAAAACAGAGGCTGCTTAGAGAATGCTATCCGGAGAGCATGGAGGAGATCTGGGACACAGTTGCGTCAAGAGAAACGCCCAGAACAAGGCAGCGACATGCACGGAGGGAAGGAAATCGTCAAGCTGGGGACGAAAAGGTAGGCAACGCTGTCTCTGTTTCAATCTCAGATGGGTGTATAGAAAATAGAAATAGGGTGCTGCAGAAGGAGTTGAATATGCTTGAGGTGAGCCGGATGATGGGGGTGGGGAAGAGGTTGGGTCTTAATTTGGAGAATTTTGAGGAGGAGATTCAATCTAAATTACTGGAGGTAGTAGATCGGGAAGGGGCAGGGAGGAGGGACGCGTCGGGGTTGTAAGGGAGGTTGAGCCGAGAGGTAGTTGTGCGTTTTAGAAGCAATTTATGAAATTTATATCCTTTAATGTAAGGGGCTTGGGGGGGACACTGAAAAAGAAGGAAGTGAGGAGGATGGTTTCAGACGAGAAGCCCGATTTTATGTTCTTGCAGGAAACAAAGCTAGAACAGGTGGATGTTGGTATTTGTAGACAGTTGTGGAATTCAGATGAGTTTGATTGGGTTGCGAAGGGCTCTTCTGGAGCTTCAGGGGGCTTACTATGTATATGGGACAGGCGGTATTTTGTTAAGAGGGAAGAATTCTCTGGAGATGGGTTCGTGGGAATAGTAGGGGAATGGGGTGTGAATAAACAGCTGTATTTTTTAGTAAACGTGTATGGTCCAAAGGAGAGACAGAAGAAAGCTATTTTGTGGGAGGAGCTGAGGAGTAGGGTGACAGATAAGGAGGGATGTTGGTTAATAGCAGGGGATTTTAATGCAGTGAGAGGTCCTGAGGAGAGAAGAGGAAGAACAGGGGAGTGCCCGGACATGAAGGATTTCGACGAGTTTATTGTGACAACTGATTTGGTGGATGTCAGACTGTCGAATAGAAGGTATACATGGTATAAGCCAGATGGTACAGCAAGGAGCAGACTGGACAGATTTTTATTGAGCACTGAGATGAGCAATATGGAAGGGGAGTGGATACAGCAAGGATTGTCAAGGAATATATCTGATCATTGCGCTATTGTGTTGAAGTCCAGAACAACAGATTGGGGACCAAAACCTTTCCGGGTTTTGGACGCATGGCAACAACATCCAGATTTTAAGAAGCTTGTAGAAGATAAATGGAGTGAGATGGAGGTCAAGGGCTTTGCTGGGTTTAAATGCCAGCAAAAGCTGAAATTACTCAAAGGAATCTTAAAAGGCTGGAACAAGGAAATCTTCGGGAACATTGAAGCTCAATATGAGCAAGCAGTAAAAAAGATTGAGCAGGTGGATATGCAGAATGAGATAGCTGATCTGGAAAATGCTGAGATTGTGAAGAGACAAGAAGGTTTTTCTGAAGTGTGGGATATTTTGAGAAAGAAGGAGCTTATCTGGAAGCAGAAATCAAGAAGTAAATGGGTGAGTGAGGGAGATGCAAACACCCGTTTTTTTCATAGAGTCGCAAAAGGAAGAAGGGCACAGAATAACATTGCGGGTTTAATGTGTGAAGGGGCATGGATTGAAGATCCAGACTTAGTCAAAAATGAGGTCTACAGATATTTTAGAAGCTTGTTTCAAGGAGAGTCATGGAATAGACCCAAACCCGGGAATATTAGATTCCAGCAGATCTCTGAGGAGAAGAAGGATTGGCTAGAAAGACCTTTTTCAGCTGAAGAAATCGAGGAAGCGTTAAGGAGCTGTGATGGTTCGAAGGCACCGGGACCTGACGGGTACAATTTCAACTTCCTTAAATTTGCGTGGCACAGCATAAAGGAGGATTTCATCAACTTTTTTTCCGAATTCCATAGTAATGGAAAATTGGTGAGGGGTCTAAATTCTTCTTTCATAGCCTTGATTCCTAAGAAGTTGAATGTTGGGGGATTAAAGGATTATAGACCCATTAGCTTGTTAGGATGTGTCTATAAATTATTAGCGAAGGTGCTGGCAAATAGATTGAAATTTGTGGTAGCTGAAATAGTGAGTAAAACGCAATCTGCCTTTGTGGGGGGCCGTCAGTTGGTGGATAGTGTATTGGTGCTAAATGAAGTTGTGGAGGAAATTAAGAGGAAGAAACAACCAGCTTTTGTGTTCAAAGCAGATTTCGAAAAGGCATACGATTGCGTAGATTGGTCCTTTTTGGATTGGATGATGGAGAGTTTTGGCTTTGGATCAAAGTGGAGAGGTTGGATTAGGGAATGTCTTTCAACGGCGAGAATCTCGATCCTGGTAAATGGAAGCCCGACAAAGGAATTTGAGATGGGTAAAGGTTTGAGACAAGGTGATCCTTTGTCTCCTTTTCTCTTTTTGATGATTGCAGAGGGGTTACAAGGGCTGGTAAAGAGAGCAGTAAAGGAGGAAATGTTGCACGGGATTGAGATTGGAAAGAAAGAATTGTCAGTGTCGCTGCTTCAGTTCGCGGATGATACAATTATAATGGGCAGAGCGGATGCTGAGAATATTCGTATGGTGAAGGACATCCTAATATGGTTTGAGCTGATGTCGGGGTTGAGAATTAATTTTAGCAAGAGCAGTGTTTTCGGTTACAATGTGTCTGAAAAATGGCTTAAAGGTGCAGCGAGTAAGCTACAATGTAGGGTTGGTAGAGCACCTTTTCTTTATTTGGGATTGCCTGTTGATGGCAGATTTGGGAGCAAGAAAATATGGGAGCTGGTCGTAAATAAATTCCGTGCCAAACTCGCTGTCTGGAAGGCCGCTACTCTTTCCTTTGGAGGCCGCCTCATCTTGCTAAAATCGGTACTCTCTGCACTTCCCATTTTTTATATGTCTTTATATGTATTACCAATTTCTGTGCTTGAGGAGTTGATTAGAATTCAAAGAAATTTTTTTATGGGGTGGGATAGGGGCCAATAAGAAAATTTCATGGGTTAAATGGGAAGATGTATGTCGTGATAAAGCCAAAGGAGGTCTTGGGGTGCCAGATTTACAGAGAAAAAATTGGGCATTGATAGGAAAGTGGTGGTATAGGTTAGGTGATGGGGTCGAGAGCTTATGGAAAAGGGTGGTGAGGGAGAAATATTATGGAGGTAAGGAAGAGGTCGATATTACTGCTATTGAGTGTCTTAGGGTGTCAAAGCTTTGGAGGGACATCATAAGGATAGGGGGTTTGTCTCTCAAACTTAGGAACATGTTAGTTGAGGGCTTCAAGTGGGAGGTGGGAGAAGGTAATAGAGTGGAGTTCTGGTCTAATAGGTGGGTTGGAGATAAAAGCCTTAGGGATCTTTTTCCAAGGTTATTTGCACTATCTATAAAGAAGGAAGGCAAGGTTTCTGAAATGGGGACTTGGGAGGAGGGTAGATGGGTTTGGCGGGTGGAGTGGAGGAGGGGTACAATAGGGCGAGAGAAAGATGAGGAAGAATTGTTGGAGAAGATGCTGGAGGGTGTCAATCTAAAGGAGGGGGCTGGGGACGTTTGGAAGTGGGTCCATGTGATGGATGGTAAATATGAGGTGAGGCTAGCGTATGATTTTTTAGCTTCTACGGAGAGGATTTTGGAGGACCAGATGTGCAAACTAATAGGGTGCAGGTTGGTGCCATCCAAAGTGGCTTTTTTTGGGTGGCGACTGTGTTTAGATAGACTCCCAACAAAGATTAATTTGCAAAAACGAGGGATATTGTTGCAGGAAGGGGTTTTATGCGAATGTTGTAATGGGAACGTGGAGGAAGTTAATCATTTATTTTGTGTATGTGAAAGTGCGTGGTTAGCTTGGTCTCAAGTGTTGAGTTGGTGGGGCTTAGAGTCTGTTCTGCCTAACTCAGTTGCGGGAGTGGCAGAATTTTTCATTGGAGGTTTGGGCAGAATAGTTGGGAAGGAGATGGGCTCATGTATTTTCCTAGTGGTTGTTTGGTATTTATGGTACAGAAGGAATGTTCAAGTGTTTCGTAAAGATGAAGGTATTCCAGAAAACCTGCTGGATAGGATGCAAGTTAAAACCTTTGTATGGATTAAAACCAAAGTCAATGGCTGTGTTTTTTCCTTTCATGAATGGAAATCCTGTCCTATGGAGTGTGCTATGTCTATCAAAAATTATAAAAGGATCAGGAAGCAGTTCTATAAAGCGGTAGCGGCTTCTAATTGATGGATAGGCGGAGCAGTTTTATCTTTAATTGCCTTGTTTTGGGCATCTGATGTTTTTTGGTTCAGGTGGGTTTTGTTTGGTTATCTTATATGGTCTTTAGGAGAGTAGCTCTCCTCTGTTCTGGTTTCCAAATCTTTGTATAAGGGCAGGAGCACCCCTTGTGCTTCATTAATTTAATTTTTTCTTTGGCTGATCAAAAAAAAAAAGTGATGAACCTGTCAATCGAATTAATCGTAGTGAGATTCTAAATCTCGTCAAAATCGGTGTTTCGGTATTGACTCCTACGCCATGTGTACTGGGGAGAAGTCTTTTATGTTTGATTAATGTGTGTGTAATGTCTTATAGATAGGAGAATACTCCATTAAATAATTAAAGAACATTTAGCTGTGCAAAAAAAAAAAAATGTATGTATGGATACCTCTAAGGGTAACGAATATAAATTTCTGTAATTCTATCAGCATTAGAGATTAATTTCATGGGATGCTTAATATTGTTTTTTTAATTATTTTTGAATAACATGAGAAAAGAAAAATATATACAAACCTGGATTTGTTCTATTAACTAAAATAAATAAGAGTTCTAACCCTTAAGCTGCATTGTTTTATTTATGTAAAGTGCAATAATGGCAATGGCTTTTCTTACCGAAATCGCGTTAGCCGCCTTGATTCTGCCTTTGACTGTGGTTTAATGTTAGTTTCCGATAACTTTAATAGGTTACATGGATTAATTTTTTTGAAACAGTTATTTAATATTTAATAATTAATAATTGTTGATATTTATAATTCATATTAAAAATAAGAAAAAAAAATATTTAAAGAAAGGTTTATAATATCAATCTCCTTGGAGCATATTTCGGTGTCCATTTCACCATTCCAGAATTCTTGAGCATTTATAACAACGCTAACCCTGATTCTCTATTTCACTTTCAACATTTTTTGTTTTGTAATTGACGCCTCTTTGCTGCTTTCTGAAGGTGGCAATTCAAATTAAACCCCTTTCACTGCGTTTTCCATAGATAAACCAAGCTGTGGCGTCTGCATCTTTTCTTTATTCTCCACAATATAAAAGCTAAACCTTGTATTTGCATCGCATATTTTTTGTTTCTCCGGTTAACATCTTAAACTAATTTTTCTTTTGGTTAACACTTTTTATAATTTAAAATTTACAAAAAAATCCAAAAATAAACTGTCAAACCTCTTATTTACATTTAAAGGCTGGGTTTTGTGTTGTTTGTGGTAATGCTCGGGGGGACTGATTTTCGTCACGGGCATAGTGTCGACACTTAGAATGGGTGTCAACACCTTGCGACTTCACTCATGTAATTGTGGGCTTCTCAAACAGTATTGTTATGGGTTTGGGGTACCTCTTGTACTCCGTTTTTAATAAATATAATTTTTGCTGTTTAAAAAAAAAAACCTCTTATTTACACTTTGATTTTATTAGTAATTTAAGATTTTTTATGGATTTTCAATTATTGAGAGTGTCAACTAGGAAGAAAATTAATTTAAGATGTTGACTATAAAAAGAAAGAATGTCTAAGGGTAAATAGGTGTTTTTCTTTTTTTTTTTGATTTCTCGCCGGTATCCGAGAATTCATTCCAACTAATCAAGATCCGACTCGCGTCGCGCACCTAGAAATAATAAATAAGTCTCTCAACGATGACTGCTGCATACATAAGGTATTTGGCCCAATATAAAAATCTCTTCCATCTCGTTTTTTATTACAGCGAAGATCCATTGAAAGAAATCCGGCTGAATAAAGCAGCGTGTATAAGTTGATCATGGAGATCAATAAAGCAACCGGAGAAAGTGATGACAGGAGGCTCTGATAACTTCTTAGAAACAGAAAAAAATATATATTTTTGTTATTTTTATTATATATATACAAAGATCATATATTTAGATTTATATAATAAAATATTTTTAAATATAAAATTAATTAATTTAAATATATATAATCCATTATAATGTAAACATAATTTTTAAATATAAATATTAATATTTTAAAGTAAATATTAGCATTCCAACAATTCAAAAATATCTAACTGGTTGGATTAAAATTAATAGTTTATAATTGTTTAAAAAAAATTAAAACAACAAATGCCCCTTGAAGCTAGAGAGGTCGACTCTGCCCTGTCACTAACTTGAGCTGAGTGAACTAAGAGCGTGTGACGCGGCCAGCCTTGATAGGTTGTTGCGGTCTGCAGGTGGATGTTAAGTTGGAAAATCCTAAATCGAGTGTGTATAATGAAAAAGTTGATGAATTAAATATAAAGAAAGTTATTTCACTTATTATTGATTATTTTTAGATAATATGACACATGATCGTTAAGTAATAATATTTTATTATCAAGTAATAAATACGTTAATTATTTTTTAATAAAAAGATCAATTTAGACTTAAAGTTGTAAATTTTAGGAACTAATCAATAACTTTTTTAACGTAGAGATCAATTCAGACCCATGTAATAGTTGAAAAACTAAATTGAAGATTTAACCAAATTATAATTCGCATTGATGACGATTGGTGCAGGTAGATGCATCATTTTGAAGATGCTAAATTAAATTATAGTGGGGTTGTCTAAATATTCGTACTCTAAGCAAACATAAACACAAGTATTACTATTTGGATTTATATAAAATTTTAATTATTTAAATTTTTATTTTTAATGGTTAAAATTTATTATAATTTTTTAGGTAAAAAATCATTATTTTTAATAAATATAAATAAAATTTATCAATTAAAATTAAAAAGATGAATAGTTAAAATTTTATGTAAGTATAATAAATAGATATCTATTATATATATGAAAAATAGTGTAGTTTAGACTTTAATTTTAAAAAAAAATAAAGTTTCAACTTTAAACGATATGATTTTATTTGATTAAAATTTAATTTAAATTTTAAAAATTTTATTTTAATCAAACATAAACTGATAAAAGATTTCTGCCCGCACCACATATCAACAAAAATAGTTTTTCCTGCTTATAGACCACTCTCGTAGTTATCGACCCATACACTGAACTGGGGAGATTTATAATTAGGGACTTAATGCCAACAAACTCTCATTATCAATCTCAAAAACCCTTTTTATTAATAAAACCAGCATTTGTATATATCTTCATCACCATTCAGTTTAAAGCCCTTCACAGGCAGAGGGTGTCGTGTGGTTTGTGTATGTTACAAATATGTTTACAGATGTTAATTGTTGGAGTTAGGCAAGTAGTGACTCCTGTCTTGGGAGTTAAGTGGGATATGGTAACCAGTTCACAGAAACAATATGACAATTTCCCCATTTTCAAAATTCCAAGCTATGGTCCTTCCCATTCCTTTGGGAGGAGACAGGGGCATGCGAACTGATTTATTCATACCTGTGCATAAAATCACGCTTGCACTTCAGAAACAGAAATGCCTAACCTGATATCTAGTGTATTTTGATTACAATGAAAAAATATTGACTTGACAGCCTCATTTTGGTACAATGTAAAGGAAGAAAAAGCAGATAGTCAGTTTAGCAAATTGTACTCTCATCCGTGGCATCAGCTGCTGAAGCAAGTACTAATTCTGGTTGAGGGACAATGCCTTCCTGTTTTGACTTCCTTCGCTCTCGGAGCATCCTGAAGTACTCTTTTCTCCTTGCTCTATAGCTGTTGTGGTTCTCAGGCTGTACCTCGATCTCTTGGGTAAACACTTACCTTTAAATCATACCAAAATATAGTCTGTCAGTTTATGGTATCAATCTACACTTTGAACTTTTGAAGTATTAACTCGTCTTTAGGAAATTTAAAAGCGACCTTCTTCTTGTAGGGTCCAATCTTCTCAAATTTCATGAGACCATCAATCAAGGAGAAGATGGTATAGTCCTTCCCAAGCCCCACATTTTTCCCTGGATTGAACTTGCAAAGGAGAAAAAAAGGGGACAAAGAAAAGATTCAAAGACCAGAGACAAAGGTATAATGAGTTGCTGCTTACACATCATAGAACTGTGATACATTATCCAAAGAAGTGCAAAAACTACTAAATTGATTATATAAGAATAAGTAACGAATGCAATGAACAATAATCAGGGAGGTTGGGTAAGAATATGATTTTCCTACCCTTTTTCCTTCCAAGAACCAGAATTCTATATGTAAAAAAAGAACTTCACCAACAATGAACCAATTAGTGAAGCCTCAAGAACAAACCTAAACTTTTTCGCATTTTCACTCATTCAATCACAATAAAACCCTTGTTTGCCACTTCTTGATTCCGCGAGTTTAGGAAAAATAGATTGGAATGGTTCCATACTTCTATTTTAGTAGGTTAATTTGCACACAAATATCTGCTATAAACCAAGTACAATACCTGAAGATTACCTTGGTTCTCCACTTTCCAGTAGAAATTTTGTTCCATATTTAACATTCACATGCAAAGTAATACCGGCATAGAATTAAGGAGAAATTGAATTTTGTAAACATTTGGACCAGCATAAATTGCTTTTTAAATACAAAAGATAAAAATTCATCCCAAAATCATCAAAATACAGCATTTGTGAAATTCAATCTAATTTCCTTTTCAACATATGATACCACAAAAAACAGCAATTAATTCAAGAAATTGAAGCTTACCTTGGTTCCTCGCTGCCTAAATTGAAGGTCAAAGTAGTACCCACCATTCTGAACCTAAAATCATAAACAATGATTGAAATTAAGTTAGTTCATGAAATTTTAAATAAATTTGGAGAATTTTTGTGCTAGGGTTTTAAACTGCTATCGTGGAGTTTTTTTGGCCAAGCTATGGGAATGGGAGTGAGGGTTCCAAGGAAGAAGAGGAGCAGAGAGCGTGAGAGAGACCTTATCTTTTGTGTAATAGAAATGCGTGGCGGCCAAATTAGATGCCACGTCATCAAATGATATATTTACCTAGCCCATCCTTGTCAAACCCGACACTGCCAACTCAAACAAAACCTTTTTTTTTTTTTTTATCAGCGCCAACTCAAACAAAACTTACCCCATCCAATTTCGCATTGTATTCTTTTTTTCAACACCGCTCACTCCCCACAAAATCTACCAATAGTTACTTTACTCTTCCTATTTTAAAATAGAATTTGTTTGACATTTTTATAGGATATTTTAAGGAAATATTTGTACTAAAAATATAACTATTAAATAGAGCACTCCACGTAAGGTTGTGCCCTTCCTTATTTTATGCTTCTAATTTTATAGAGAATGGTAAAGTCCAACTTATAAAATCACAAACTATTTTTAAGCAAAGTGTAAGTTTTATAGTTCATTTGATATGTATAGTTAATATGTTAATAATAATTAAAATTTAAATTCTAACATTGTTATATTATTATTTTTTATTTTTTATTTTCAAATTATAATTATTAATAAAATTAAATAAAATGAGGACATCTTTGTAGTTTAGTGATCATTTCTCTTTTATTAATAAATTTTTTGTGTTTGTCTTTTAATGGTATGAGATTCGAATCTTATTTTTAACTTTTAAAAAGAATAAAATTAATAAAATTAATATTTTACAAAATATCATTTTAATACAACATAATTTTAATTTTTTTAGATGAATCAAAATTTATTATATATAGGAGTACAAGAGATACTTAACTCGTAACATCAAAAAGTCATAGCAAATACAATAATGAATGCATTCGAAGACAATGAAAGCATTCTCAAACTATGGAAGCAAATCAAGCAATCCAAAAGCTATAATGATAACTGAGAACTGTAATGTTAAATCTATCTCTTGGGAATTTCTTGGACACATGTCCTAGGGGAATTGCACCAATAGAAAAAAAGGAAACACGGTATTAGTAGATCTTCCCTTATCCATGCAAAAGTTCTCCTTTGAATTTTAATGACCATTATAATAACATCGGTGACTAGCTATAACCTTGTCCAGAGGATTGGGCTCTGTGAGATTCGACGTGTTTTGCGTGAGGGAAGTTGCTGTCTGTCTACATATGACGGCTAGGGTATCCCCTTTATCCAAAAGAAAACCACGTTCCGAAATGAGACCTTTTTCGGCTATGTGAGCTGGAAGAATTTTGGAATTTGGGTGACGTGAAGTAAGAGGACTATCCCCTCTTTCTTTCAACATAAAACCAGTAGTATGTATTCATATCCTTTCTTTAACCCATAACTCAATCATCCAACCAACTCAGCAGTTACTCATATCCCCTTTTTTTTTTTGATCCCCAGCAGTTACTGCTCTCCTTTGTAGTACTAGTAGATAACACAATAATACCCTCACATGGTTGAATTGCCAAAAGAAAAAAAGAAAAAAAAAAAAACCAATCTTACATACACGCCATTGATACAAATAGGCCACACAAATATAGCATATGCCAAATCCAAGAGCATAGCTTGACAACTGCAAACCATGCCTAATCTACCTCGGTGTAAATAAAGGAGATACCCTCCTTCAAACCACCTCCTGAATTTGCTCAGATGACAAAACCGCTGCCTATCGTGTCAAAATTAGCTTCACATATCATATGCTCCAAACCTTCTACCCTATATCTGGTGCAGACCAAAAATGGGTAAACAAGTGCCTACCTTTTCAAGAATTGCTGATTGATCATAGAGGTGAAATTTGCGCATAAACTTTAGCATCTTCAACTGATTCAAATAATTAACCTTCTGAATTTAAGCAATATGCGTTTCCAATCTTTTTCAAAATTCAGAATAGATAATACCTGCTCCTGTAAATTTTCTTGAGTACGCAGTCTTTCAGCAAATTCATCTGGTCCAAGTTCAGCTTCGTCACAGGCCATCTCCTCACTGTCATATGATAGAAAAGGTATTAGAAATTTTGTTGATCAGCACAAAAATTCCATGAAGATGAACTGTTTCTTATTCACCAGCTCTCTTTCCAGTTGATAGAAATCTAGATACACAGAGATACAAACAGCTCTTTCCCATGGATAAATTAGACCCAATTGCAGTTAAAAAAAAATGAATTGAAGCAACCATGCCTGAGGTTGGCTGAGCTTGTAGCCAATCGTAGATTCAAGAAGCAAGGCATCCAATTCCAAACATGAGATGCAAAAAAATTTGTAACTCAGTGGATGCATAAGAGTGAGAGATTACTTTGCGACAAATTTATAAAAGCAAATCATTAAGTCTTGATCATTCTCATAAGTCATATTCACCTTCCCAGGCATGCAAGACCAAAACTTGGATCTGTGGTAGAAAAAAATGATATAACTTCAGAACTCACATTTATCATAATATTGGAAGTCTTAGGTTAGTAGAGAATTGCAAATAGCCAGCAGGACAGAAGCAGTCCAATGATTTTCTGTTACCCAATTCAGCCCATTAGGTCTGATAATACATCTTTAGAACCAAACCATAATCTCAGTTTTAGCCATAGATAATGTATTGGTGAGTAAAATAGAAATGAGGCCTTAACCCACAATACAGAGGAAAACATTATCACTACTAGAAAACACAGTATAATCGACAGAAAATACTGTTGATTATACAAGGATTTCTGTCGATTATACCTTAATCGACAGACATAATCGACAAGTATTTATGTCGTAAAAACAGTAGTCGAAAAAGACTATAATCGACAGAAATTTATTTTGTCGAATATAAATATATAATCGACAGCCATTGGTTGTCGAATATACTTGGTGAAAAAATTAAAAAAAATACAGAATTTAAAAAAATCCAAAATTATATTTATAATTTTTTCTGTTAATTAAATTAAATAAAAAACAATGAAACGAAATTTCAACACAATTATCAAATCCCCAACAATATATTTATGAAATAATTTTGAGAATTATATAATATAAAAAATAGTAGATAAATATAAATAAAATTAAAATGAGAATTCTAACCTTAATTA